GGGGGGGGTGCACTAGTGTAAACATATGATTCATTGTATGCCAGACAATTCCTCTATAAATAGGTTTAAGTGGAACAATTTGCATTTCTAAACAAAAATGCAACTACACACAATTTAAGAAAACCATTATCGAGAGCAGGAAGTGACAGTTGTTAATTGCAACCATTTCCATCTCTGAATGCACCTGTATTACCAAAATACCTCACAGGACTGCATACACGTGGAAAAAAACAAATTCCCGCAGACACATATATGGCACCATGCCTGGCCTTTCCCAGACCACACCTTCCTTCTCTCCTGCTGATCCACTTCTAAAAACAGCTCTGGCCAGCAGGGGAAATTAGGGAGCCTTGAGTATATGTTGAAGGATGCAAATATGAAAACATCAATCAAAAAAACTGATGCAATGCTCCTGAGCCGCTCGTCCTTTTTAAATATGCACGGCGATGCTCGGATTTCAAACATTGGATCGTCACACAAACAGAAGACGATAAGAAACACCAAACGTGCACGACTTGCTTCGAGGCCGACACATGATTATCCGTGCCATGACTATGACAGATGGAACAAAGGTCAACATATTGAGCATATTTCACTGAAAATGGGATTTTTCTTTAGCACCAAGTTCACTGCGGATTTTAAATTACATTATAATCAGACAGCTAATAAATTATTAAAAAGAACTAACTTCAGATCAATAGTACATTTATAATGATCAGAAGATGCAAATTACAAGTCAAGGACAATAACATGATCTTGATCTCAAATATATATTGAAAAATAACAAAATATAGGGCGATGAACGCAACAGAAATCATGGAGAAATGTTTAATATAGCAGTAATAAAGACCTAATTCCATCACTGCAAACTGTCCCACTGGTGCACAGCTGAGGAACAACAAATAGGTTAAAACAAATCTTTAGCAATCAATGTCGACCTCAGAGGCCCCCCTCCCTCATCTCTGGATACAACTTCTGTATGACTGATACAAAATAATACCTTCAAACGCTCCACATGAACGGGCTTATAAGGAAATAAACGAATGCCTTTATGAAACTATAAATTACATTTCTCAATACTCCCAGTTTGCCTGATAATGATCAGTGGACCTTTTTTAATTCATCCTTCACAGCACCTAACCCCTAATATGCTCCCCCCACCCACAAGTTCAGCACAACACCCCATGAGTCCACAATAAACGCACCTCTAGGGGAGGAGGTCACATGAAATGGTAGAAAATGCCTCTCCTCATCCTCTGTCCTTCCTCCCTGAGTATTTTAAAGCCACTTTATAGGACCATAAAAAAAAAAAAAGCCGATTAAGCGTGGGGGGGAGAGGGGGGGGAGAGGAGCTGAAAGAAGAAAGAGGCTCTTTTGAGTGCTGCAGATTAAGTGGAAAACAAAGCCTCACAAATGAACTCCGTGCACAATAAATCAACAGTGACTCTACGTGCGGTGGAAAACTGGCCAAATGTTTCAAACAACGCAGCCACGAAACAGCAGCAGAGGAGCCAAACGCCTCTCAGAGCAGCAGCAGAGTGCACAGTTTGACTTTCTTTTCTTTTTTTAAACCTATACCTTCCGACATGTTAAGTGGCCGCATATCAAGCCAGCTCTGCTGTCCATTAGAGCCAAGTGTGAAACTAACCGTGTCATAGCCACATGACATGTCTCCCCTTCCCTTTACAATGCAGGGGGGGGCTGAGCTTGGACACATGTGGCTTAAAGAGGAAATTTAACGTGTTGAGGTTTTTTTGGAGGGGTTTTTTCAAGCCCGTGGACAACGTGTGATTACACAGTAACATGTTGGGCAATGCAAAACATCCGGATTATACAATGCAGCCTGGTGCTCTGGAGAGAAGTAGGCTACACGAGGAGGTGGGGGGGGGCTGGGGGGGATCAAGGTGGGATTTGCATTGACAGTGAAATAGTTGGAGAAGGAAATAAAACTATTCATTCAGTCGATGCTTTAGAAAGATGCTCGCCATGTCGCTACACCGGGGATGTTTATTCCTTCGTTTGTGCCGTTTTTTTGTTGTTTTTTTGGCGTCAACTTACTTGGTGGACGAAGACATCCAGAGGGGGGTCGACGGGGCTCCCTTCGCTGTTGGTCATTGAAATAAATCCAAAGCCCATCCGGACGTTGAACCATTTGCAGAAGCCCGATCCCGACAGGATCTGAGGTCGAGTCCGGTCCTCCTGCTCGGTGGACTTGGCGGGGTCTTCTCCGCCACCTTTACGCGGCCCTCCTGAAACGCGCAAGAGGCAAAAGTTAGAACATTTTTACAGGCTCGGGAGGTAGTTCACACCACGGGATGGCTACTTCCCTGTGCGCATACGGGTTTGTGCAAGTTCAGTGGGCTCTGTTTGCGTATAAATGAACTTCAAGAAGCGTTGGGGGGGGATCCCCTCCACTTGCTATACGGGCTCTGTGAAGTTCACGGACAGTAGAAATTTCCTCCACTACTATTTTCGACATCACATAAGCAATCGGGGGGGGGGTGCGCGTGGTGCTGTGATGCGGTGTGCATCAACGCAAACATTCCCTCAAAAAAAGTTGCGTGTTACTCCCTGACAGATGATCGCCTCTGACTCGTGCGAAGGCACGCTCAGTCTCGGTGGAACTTGTGGAGGATTTTGTCTCGTGCATCTGCAGCCCACTCCTACAGTGGAGTTGCTTTTTGCCGTGTGATCCAAAAGGCAGGTGTACGCATGGTTCCTCGCGCTTGTAGTAGTGGGCAGAGTAGCACTATACGCTCCAACAATGCATACATCTCAATGCAGCGAAACATGGTAAGATACGGTGCTGAGCAGGGGCGGTTCAGAGTCGGTGTTTTTTGACCACGTTGCACCTTGCCCCCCCTCCTTCCTACTACCTCCCTCCTCGCGCGAGCAGACAGGGAGGACAGAAGAAAAAAAAACTGAAAATAGAAGAATAATTGCAGAATAACCTTCGGCCATGTTTCCCCGCGGACCCTCTGCGCCCAAGTTGCAATAGAGAAGCTTCCTCTGCGAAAACGGGCTGCGGTAGTCACCATTAATCCGATATCCTCGATCCCATCGGTCACCAATTTAGCTCGCATGGTACGACGTGCTCTCTGCCTTTTGATATTTGTGTCATGTCTCTGTTTCTTCCCTTCAATCCTTTCCTCACTCACACCACCTCTGCACTGCTCTCCCTCTTTCTCTCTCTCTCTCTCTCTCTGCCTTCCTCCCTCTCATTCTCTCTCTCTCTCCCTCCTTCGCTCTCATTCGCTCTCGAGCTGGCTGTGCCCGTTCCCATAGTGAGAACACGTGACTTTGACAATTCCACGCTTTTCTGCTGCTCATTTCTGCTCTGCGATTCCAGGGAAGAGGGGGGGGATCGGACTCGCAACCGTGAGCAGAGTACAGCCCCAAGTTCGGTCGATTATAATTGAATAAAAACAAGCGCTGTGTTAATGAGAGCCTCTAACACACAGGAGATTGTACTGTTTGCACTGTGTTTTGCTGGTGGTAAAGCTATAATGGGTTGGTGTAGCTATAGCTACATAGCCTAAAGCTATTATACTCTGAGATCAGATTAGATGGGATTCAATTAATTTTGAATGAATCCTTTGGGTGTATTTGGGTGGTCATAGCAGCAGGGCCAAATAAAACATGGGGGAAGAAAACTGAAAAATATGGCGAGAAATTAGCAAAAGCAACTGCAAGTTTGTTGAAATAAAAACAGATTTTTCCAATTATCATGTTTGAACATGCAGCAGTGTGTCAATTTGTCCACACACATGGACACCAACCATTTGTCAGACACTTTTAAAATAAATCACATTACAAACAAATTACTTTTTCATCTGTCCCATAGTCTAAATCTAACATCTGCAAAATACGAAATAGAAGACCCTCCTTTAAAACACAGCTCAGGTTTTTTATAACCATCCATCCGTAGATGTCTAAACATCTTAGACGTGCCTTATACTAAACTAAAACACTAACAGATTTGGAGGATAAGGTTAATAATAACAATAAAACATGGAGACACATGTCTACATTTTACACCCTATACTTTTCTAAGCCTGGTTTATATTTCGGTTAAATAAACTCCCGTCTTTATGACAGAAAAAAAACAACCAACCACACGGAGGGACCTATACATTCCCTTCACAGATGAAAATAACTTATAATAACAATACAGAATAAAAAATGTAATGCTCATTTTCCATGCTTTCTATGCATGGACATGTTTTTGAGGTCATGTTCCTCACACACAACCAGTTAGCTCCCAGCATCATATATAGTGGGCACCAGAGGAGAGCTGAACTCACAGCTTTGGAATGTGACTGGAAAACCCAGAAAAACAAACCTGAAAACTGATGTGTTCAGTTGTCAGTAAATCAAGCCTCAGGCCCAACGACCACATTGCAGAAGCTTTTCAGAGATAATTAAAGTGCACGCACAAAGATGATTAAATGGTGGCTTAACTTTTTGAGGGAAGGCATCAGCCTTGTGCTTGATTCTCTTCAGCATTACAAAAGAATAAAGACACAGCGATGAGAGTTTGTCGAGACAATTTCGTTTTTCTTTTGAGAGCGAACCTGTTTACTTTCAGTAAAAAGTGGATCCCAATAAAGCAAAAACTGAAGTTCCATAAAGTTAATAACCTCTCATCTTCATATACAAACCGTGTGTCTGTTTGACAAATATTACTTGTAGATGCATATTACTTTAATATATGATATGAATACAAAGCATATAAATGTAAGTCATTCCAAAAAAAACACCAAAAAAAGACTATTTCACAAAAATGTAACTTGGATAAAATCAAGAGTTTAAACCCTTATTCAAGTCTCACTGCATATGCAAGTTACACTTTATGTCCGCCAGCATGAGACAAACACTCTCCGGAGAGATATGCCCAACCATGAGCTGCGGTTACTCAAGGCCACACAGCAGCTTGATAACAACAAGCCTGAAAAATACTGCATCCATTGAGAAACTTCCCTTCCTATCTCACATCTATACCCTGGTGGGACGGTTCTCCATGGGGGTTATTCCCCGGGTATGAGCAAAGAGGGGAAACACGTTTGAGGAATGAAAAAAACAACAAGCCCATCTCCACCCACCAGAGCCAAAGAGCCCACCCTCTGGAATTCACGAGTTTTACCCCCACCCCCAATCCATCCATCCCAGCCCCTGCGCAAAGGCCTGTTTTTGGAGATGCTTGTAGAGGAGGCCTCTGCAGTGGCCATAGAATTACTGTTTGGGTCACAGGGTTGGATACCAGTGTCAGATGTTATCCACTCACTCATATCCTGACAGGACCTTTCTGATTAGGACAAGTCGGTGGAAATCCCCAGTGCAGTTCACTGACATGTGTGCAAGCTAATGGAATAATTTAGATATGTGTGGCTTGGGTGTGCCTGTTGGTCAAAGGAAGCAACTGAAATACCAAAACAGTAATTAGTGGAGATTTAAAGCCACTTCTCAATTTGAATATCTTAATATGGCTGAAAATGTTTTTATTTAATGTGAAACGTCTCAAACTGATGATAGGGTGTTTTAAGGGAAAATTGAAACTTTATTTTACTGAAAATATAACTTCTGCTCGTTACATTTGTTTTCATAATTATTAAATAATCAACACCAATCAGGAGACATACTTTGGCATCCCTTCTATTTTTATTTAAGCTGCAGGATAAGATTGTTTTGAAACTTGAGATCTTTTCCACTTTTTTATTTGTAGAAAACTGCACATCGACTAATAAGAGCAAGTTTTTTTTAATGAAGTTTTGCAAAAAAAAGTCAGGGATCAACATTGCTGTGTTTTAAAAAAAATGAATAAATAAAAATCTTTAACAATCTTTTAATTTACCCTCATGCTGAATGAAAGGATCATTTTAAAATGTGTTTTAACTTAACATCAGCCTTTTTTTGTGTGTGTTTCTGAAGAGTGCGTCAAACTAAATAGCAACCTTTCATATGAGAAGTGTGAAACATGAATTGGCCTATTTTTAGATGAACTGAAAATACAAACATTAGATCTTATAACCACCACCAACTTAAACTTGTCCCCCTGTTTTATTTACTTTACGTCAATATATAATCCCCACCACGCACACGTTATACTTTATTACTTTTACTTGCCGTTATGCTGCAGGATAAGATTGTGCTGAAACTTGTTTAGTCATCAATCTTTTTTCCTTGTTTACTTTTGTGGAGAAATACAGTTTAAAATGTTGAACATTAAGTTCTGCGTTAAGTAAGGGAATTCATAAGCATTGGTCTATTTTAAAGCTGAACTAAAAATACAACTTCTTTAGTTAATTTCTCTGGTGTTTATCTTATAATCAACATAAAAGTCTTACTTTGGCTACCTTTTATTTGACTTTATGCTGCAGGATAACATTGTTTTCAAATTAGTTTGAGTTTTGGAACAATCTTTATTTCCCACTAACATACTTGAACCAAAAGAGTCCTGCAAAAAGTTCATAAAATGGTCTATTTTTAAGATCCAGTTATGACAACGTTATGTAGATAAAGCTGTTCATGATTCACTTTGGTAATAATGGAATGTAAAGTTAAGTTAAGAGGACGCGTTTGGCAAAGTTTACAACTATAGATTTTGCTCTCATGATAAATTGAATGTAAAATAAATGAAGAATGCATATTATCAACCTATAATTAATATGTTCACTGATACATTACTTTTTGTAACTGTAACACCAACAGACTTGTGCAAACCCTTTGAAGGTATTATGAACCTCTGTTAGGACTGCATGAATATAAGTTTAAGAATCAAGACAGTGTGCAAGTATTCAATGGTCTATTCAAAACATTTGAATATATCTATAAAATAAGACATATTAGACGGCTCAGGCATATATAGTGCTAAAGTCCCTTGCTGTTTTCACAGCCAGTCACAACCATGCCAGGAGAATATATGGTGTATTTCAACTTAAAGACTTGAAAAAAGAGAAAGGAATCCACCCCATTTTTAATAACAGCGGTGGTTTGCTCCAGTGAACACTAACTAAAGGTCATAAATTATAATCAACTTTTTTTATTTTAAGCCATAAACCATAATCCGTCATTTAGACAAGAACAGCCTGTTAGGAAAATGAACTGAAATCAGTCTGAGAATATAAGCAGTTATAGTTATTTTGATCAAAACAGATAATTACGAGGATTTAACCTAAGCAGGAGCAGATTCCTGAGCTGTGTGAATACCACATTTCTGAGCAGACTTTGGACTCCATCACCCCAGCTAACCCCACCCAACCCCCACTCCTCACCCTGAAGGCTCC